AAATATTCTGCAAAATTAAGACAAAATGCAGAGATCCATTTTCCAGATGATGTGAAGTCTCTATGTCACAGATGAGAGCACAGCAATTTGCATGTTTATGGTGGGGTCAGAATGTAGAATGGCTGAATATACGTTTTGCTTCTATGGGATTTGATCAAAATTGTATTTCTTAATTGCAATTAATTTACCTAAGGCTGTACTCTGGTAGGTGAGTAGGTAGCTGGGATATGCCTTGAACTTAGGTCCTGCCAGCTGTGTTCTACTAGATGATCTCAAGAGGCCTGTGGAGTTTGTTGGCAATTTCTGTTGGTCTTCCCTAACTAATTAGGGGCTGCATGTGAAGAGTGATGAGTGGACTTGGACTTACACTCCATCCTTCAGTGAAATGAGTCAGTAGAAATTACAAACTGGAAATGTCATGCATCAGCTTCAGACTTTGCCATTTCTGAAGAACACTGCCTTTTTCCAAACCCACCTCTTTCTGGAAAAATTGTCAGCGCAGATACTGAACTTTGTCACATATATTTCACAACATGTGAAAGCCAATACATACTCAAACAAGAAGGACAGAAGACCTCCAAGTGTTGAAGTTAGGATCAATGTTTCAAAAAAATAAGTCTCTGCTATATTTGTTCTTAAAAAATTAATAGTGTACATCACAGCATAACCTTCCAAAATCGCAGAGCTTCTTGCCTACAACAACAGTCTCATTCTCTACTGACAAATAGCTCACATAGTCACTTATGCCCTGTAAAACAAGTGTAGTATAACAGCAAGGTAGAACATCACAGCTACTTTGCACCGCATACATGGCTTTTTAAAGAAACACCTATAGTTTCTGGGAATAAACAGCTATCCTTGTGACTCCCTTATCTATTCCAGAACTGGATTCACGTGTTAAGACATGGAGATAAGTGGTCAAAAAGAACTTGACAGTTCAATCAGCTGAACATTTGTTAGAAAAACAAACCTTCTGCTCTGCTACAGTGTTTTATGCTCAAAAAAATCAAAATGCAATACCACTGTCTGCAGAGAGGATCCATCTGCACAGTACACTCGTGATGTTGATATGTAATTTAAACAGTAATTATTCCATACCTATGCCCCTTTCCACCTAGTTCACACCACATGTATTGGTCATGCCAACACTGTGTATAGAGCTGTGCTATAAATGAAATCTCTGAAATTAACTGATTTAGAGGACGCACATGGTACTAGGATGCTCTGCTAGGTTCATTGCTCTTCTTTTTACTGGATCTTTTGAATGATCCCTTTAGAAAGAAGGTCTGTATAAACATAACTGAGTGGAGCTAAAGACTACTGCACAAGGACAGAAACAAGCATTTCAGAAAACATGTTTTCGAAAAAGGAAAATGCCTCACCAACCTATGTTCTCAGGTCCATGAACAGAGTGCATAACTTCCAGCAGAAATGCAGCATTCTTCAAGTATTCAAGGAATGAGGCCACACAGTGGGAGAAGAGTAGAGGTGGGAAGAAGAAAGAAAAGAAAGGAGAAGAAAGAAAGGAGAAGAAGAAAAAAAAAAAAGCTGGAATTCCATAGCTTCTTTTCCCTATTAATCTCATCACATTATATAACATTCACCTGACCTTATTTGCTTTATTCCTACCAACCAGAAAGCAAGAGGTTCCAAGCTAGATGAGCAAATACAAAATGGAAATAAAGCAATCCCAAGTCTAAACAAAATAACCAAAAAATGAGCCCCTGGAACAGCATGCATTCTAGTCTAGGAACAAAGAATTTAATTCAGCACTGGGCTTCACATTAAAAGCAGACTAAAGACTAAGGAAGGTCTACCACAGAAAAGTGACTTAAGGCATTTTCCTTTCTAAGCATGTAACCTTTGTTTAAAAATTTGCAGCTGTGGGGCTCAGCAGCATAATCAAGTGCGCCTGATTTTAATTAAGGGAGTAAAATTTGCATATGCAAACTCCTCTCTTACTAATACCTTAGTAATGCCAACAGTATTGAAAGAAATAAGAAAACAAGAAAAGGAGAAACAACAACAACAAAAAGAAGTAATCAATTTTGTTTTGCTAAAATAAGGGAAAGAGCAGAGATTACAATATAAAATGCTTCCAGCTAAAATGCACTGAAAGTCCAATCTGGCTTTTATCCAAAAAGGTGTTTTCATGGCTAATATGGGATCCTCACCCTGTCACAGCATCTAAGATAAATACCTCAAGGTGTGGCCTTGTCACTCTGTAGGAAAGTCAGGCACAGGTGAAAAGTCTTGTGGTCTTCAAGAACTGCTGTTTATAAAAGTGCCTCTCTCCCTAGAACCTAGAGATGCTTTTGGTTTTGGAAGTAGACCTCTGTACCTTAGACATTTCTAAGATGTTACAGTTTTGCTTTTGGATCACTAAGAAACATGCAGATCCTCAGTGGGGAATGCTGAAAAGAATCAGTGAAAGGCAAAGCTCAAAAGCTGTCTCAAAAATACATTATATTCTTTGTATTTAAGTTAGTGTCATTGAGATGTTTATAGATAAACCAGAAAAATAAATATTTCAAGCAGAGACTACTGGAGACTGGAGGGAATTGGATTTCTTTCATGCCAGTTTAACTGTAAGCTCCTCCAGGAATCCTTGGACAGTGGCATAATTCCCACCTTCTCATCTCCAGGAGGTTTTTGTTTTTAAAGAGTGAGACAGAAGCCTGGCACAATGTAAAACTGCTTGGAGCAATACTAATATAATATATTGGATATTCTATTCAGGCACCTAAGAGACTTAGGAAACAAGTCCTCAAAGCACAGTCAAAAAGCATACCACGAAGATCACTATATCTGTATTAACATAGGAGCTGCAACATACTAGAAAATACTGAACAATGTAACAGGCTCCAGAGAAGCCACTGTGGTCCATTGAGTAAAATACACCCTTTCAGAATTACTGAAATACAAATTCACATGATAGGCCAAAAAAACCAGACTTAGCCTATTGAATAAACATTGCAGTAAGCTTCAGAGCCATTATGGTCTACTGAGTAAATAACAAAAAGTATTAAAATGGTCCAGACATGTATTTTCACAATGTGACAGAATTGCTTCAGAGGAAATTCTTGTGTCAATTCTCTGGTCTATCCATGAGGGATTACCTTTCTTTTCCTCTTTGTTTCACTGTTTAGCCTATTCCATGTATATTTGCATAATGATGTACAGTTCTTTCCAGTCCCTAGACACAAGTTACAACAATCCTTTTATAAATTCACCCCACACTAAAGCTGTTTATTTGTTATAGTTTTAGGCATTAGCCTCAGTGACTATTTTAACAGAGTTGAGAGAGGGAAAAATGAAAGGCGATGATGAGAGAGGCAAAGATATTTTCTAGCAAATTGGGAACAGTTGAAATGGTCTCTCTCTGCCTATTTCAGAATATAGCTTTCCCTTTCTTTGATGTTGTTTCACAATTTGACTCTTTTTTCCTAAACAAAACCTAGAAGAAAACCTTTTCATAACACTCCATTACGTTTCATGATGGAGAGAAAAACTATCTTGATCCCTGTCCATTGCTAAGATCAGTCACAATTTTATTTCATCCTGTGACTTCAAAGGGCTTACAGAGAATTAAAATAATCAGGATTCTGATTCACCTTCTCTGTGAAATACAATAAATTAGGACCGTGCAAAGAATTGATTCCCACTGTCTGTTAACAAGAAGTTTGTTTTTAATTATCTAGGATCTGACTACTGATAATTGACAGATAAGTTAACAGGGCTACATTTTGTTCTCACATCTCTAAATCAGAAGATACTTGTCTGGATGACACAACTGCAACTGTAAGTGGAATATTAGCATGTGAGATGCTTTTACGGCCTGTGCCAAGAGTTGTGCTGAGAATTTCCTCAAGGAGGTACCCCTGATTCTTTCCTAGTTCCACAAAAAGCAGCTGGCTGGCTCCGGGGAGAGCCGCTGCACTGAACAAGTTGAGTAACCCTGCTCACCAGGGAGGCAGATAGGAGCTCCAGTACCTATGCATAGAGCTGCACAGAAAAAAACCAAACAATATCTATTTCAAGCAGCTCTAGTAAAACAGCTTTCCAGCAATTACCAGATCCATTTTATAGAATATTTAGAAGGATTACTGACATGGAAAACAATACTTTAATATCAAAAGAAATAGTGATTTTGAAAAGAAAGCAGAAACAATTTCTGGGATCACACCTACTGGTAACTTTGCAGATTCTTTTACTGATAAATGATTTATCAATGTCTCTAGGGTCTCTCAACACAGAAGCAATGGTAAACTCTCTTTAGCTCTATGGTAAAGTAAAACAGTCCAAGGTGCTTAACCAGCTATAGAGTGAGGTTGTAAATTATTAATGAGCATCTGTGGGCTTTTTATTTTAATACCTTGTTACAAATAACACAGTGATTTGCAACATTTTCTAACATGGTTACTTTTCTAACAAAGAAATCAAAGACTTGGTGATTCCTATGAAGAGAATAGGTGTTTAGTCAGATGAGAGAGGATCAAAGTCGTTATGGAGGAAGGCGTGCATTCATACATTTCTATATTACAGCTAAGCAAATGATTTAAGGCTATCTGTCATGACAGTGTGGTGGCAGTTCCACCTATGTGCCAAGTCTATCAAACCACAGTTTTTCTCAAGACTAAAAATTGAATTAGTTCTTCCACAGACAGCAGCTTAATTTAGCAGAACTCCTGCTTTGCTCTTGACTGAACCACAGTCCGAGGAGACTTACTGAATTCAAATGAAAATGTCTACTTGGGCCCATCTGTGCTTGAAGCTGAGTTTGCAAGGCTCTGACGAGGAAGAAGTAAATATGCAAGACAGCTCGCTGAAGAGAGTGACATGCTTGCATATGCCCTCCAAAGCCCTGAAGTCTTCCACAGGGGAAAACTGGGAGGAAGATATACCATGGCGATCTTCTTCATGCTTATAACTGGATGGCGTGACAAAGTATTTGGTGCATAACTGTGTACATGGGGCTGTGCACTTACTCACTCACTCACCTATGATGAGCTAAGAAATGCCAAGAGAGAACTACTGTTGCCAGCAGCATTTCAGTGCCACATCCAAAGAAAGTGAAGCTCTGCTGGCAGGCTGCCCTGTCCTCAGCCGATGCACTGAACTCAGCCAGCCTAAGTTGAGCCACCCAAGAATCCAGGAGAATACATCTCTTCATCTTGGTCTGGCAACTTGCACATTAAAACAAACAAACAAACAAACAAACAAACAAACAAAACAGTTCAGTATTTCACATGCATTTGTCACCTGGCTAAACAACACTTTATTTGGAAGAATCTAAATCAGGCCTCTTAAGCAGAACATACGCCAATACTGTGTTCATTAATGAACAGTTATTACTATACTCTGTCATCAGTTTCCAAGGAAATCGATCCAATAATGCAGCTATCTCTATTCAGCATGTCCCAATTAAGCATACAGTAATAATATTCTACATACATATAAGCCATTCATTCTCAAGCACTTCAAAGATTATACAGTACACAGATACCACTGTGATTAGTGTATTATGAATGTTCCCATGTAGTCACACTGAACCACAGCAGCTTTTCAAGTGGAAGGTGGCAGCCAACTGGCATGCTGGTTTCTGAGCTACTGTGGATGAAGAAAAAATGCTGCAGTGTCCCGGACATAAACCCATGATATTAAAATGATGATGATGATGATGATGCAATTTTGAATTTTGAAATATCTCTTGGGCAGAAGGACATTTAGTTTTAAATCTAATCAGTATAAAACCATGTAATACAATGCACAGAGCTCAATCAATTTAATTTAAGAAAACAGTCAAGATTTCTATTCTATAAATCCATGGATCCTGAAGATTAAATATTTCAAAATCTGTTATTCGGACCACTAAGCTCTCTTTACCACTGACTGAATGGTGAATTATTGTTGAAGGCACTTTCATCCCTTTAGCAGCTAATTTCACTTTTATTTCCTCCTTCCATTGTAGGAAGTATTTCTGACTAATCACTTCATTTTTCTGGTTATAATTGCCCATTTTAGAAATACAGAGTGTATTTCATCTTCAGCTACATCTTTTTTTTCTAAACATTATTGGGAATGAAAATTAGGTATTGAGTACTTAGCTATTACCTTTTTCTATAACAGTTTTCAGCAATACCTTATAGACGTACGCATCATCTTGTTTAATCCAGATGTAGTGTATATATACGCATATCCCCCTGTCTATGACAAAGCTCCTCCCTCGAAGTTTGCCTGGGATACGCTCACTTTAAGCTCCTGAAGTAGCAGTAGTTTAATAATCAGATCAACTACTTTGTAAAAAATCCTTTCCACCTGCCCTATCAACTAACAGAGAAAAACTGCTTTTTTAGGTGATCCTGTTGTCAGCTGGGGGCATACAAGGCCAGGTTGGATGGGGTCCTGGGCAGCCTGATCATGTGGGTGGCAACCCTGCTCATGGTAGTGGGGCTGGAACTCAATCATCTTTAACATCCCTTCCAACCTAAGTCATTCTCTATAATTCCTTCCTCCCCTTCCCCTCCCCCCTCCGCTCACACAAGAAATCTAGGGTTCTTTGTTTTTTGTTTTGTTTTGTTTTGTGTTTTTTTTTTTTCAGGTTAAGGACACTACGAGTCTTTGCAGACCTACTGGTTTCTGTTAGAGATGTCAGTATTCAATTCTTCCAAATTTCTGCTGCATTTTGCATGTCCTCTGAAAATACCATGGGTAAAGTGCCATATTTTAAAATGCTTTCATAGAGAGAAGTTCAGTCAGATCACGTCTCTTATTGCCATTCTCTTATTATTTAAAGATGGATGAAGAGGTATTCCTCAAACCTGCTAAAATAAAAATGTTACTTTTGAGAAGGACTAAGTTCAGAAAGCTGTTTAAGCCCCTGCTTAGCTCTGGCATATGCTTACCATTTGTTGCGCAAGGGACTTCATTCACTCTCACTTATCATGTTGTTGTGGAAAAGAGACGTTTCTCAGAATTGAAGCTGAAGTACTGCGAAGTTTAGCCTCCGAGGTGAATGTTTTGGAAGGTTAATAGCCTGTGGAAATAGAGGAGCCCTATGTTATGTTTAGTACTCACTTTGGCTGAAAGATGAAATAGACTCACTTCACCTAGGCGCTGAAATGCAGCCACCTGTGGGGAGTAATGTGCCAGCTCTTTAGTGCAACAGTGCAAAACCATTTAAGCAGGAAGTGAAGCGCTATTCCTCAGTCCAAAGAGAGAGTGTTTGCCATTGTTGTTACAGAACAGTATGACATTTTTCTTCGGGTGGAAGGCGCTGTTTTTGCAGTGCTATATTTCAAAAGGATTTAGGTTGAGATACACAGAAAATGGGACTGTGCCACCGGTTAATCAATAGCTCAGCACAGTAGACCAGCACTGGAAGAAACCAGCAGAGGCAGGAAGGAGGACAAAGGGAATGTTACTGAATGTGAGTGCCTACCTAGAAGGGTCAATTTTAACATTGAACCCCTAAAGGGAGACTCAAATTTCCTGCAATCAGATATCTTTAGCACTTTTGCAATAGATTGAGATCAATATGCAGTTTCTATATACCACGAGTTTCTTTCTATTCTGGCAGAATTTACTCTCCTTACGTAAGTATGCAATTACCTCCCATAAGTTCAAGTTTGACTTTGTTTGGAACTTCAACCAAGCCAAATCTATTCACTTTACAATTCACCTTTATGCTGCCAGAGTAGCATAAAGAGAAAGTGAAAGTCTGAGAAAAAATCTGGAAGAGGGAAAGCAACAAAAATACTTTGCAGTTCTGAAGAAACCTTCAGACAGTAAATGAGAATAATTCTAATTCTCTGAGATGATTTTTTAAAGGAAACCACATATTACGTATGTTTATTGTAGTAGCTGTGGTATTCTCCTCCCCTCAGCTTCTCTTCTCTTAAGCTGAAGGAATTTAACTTCTCCAAATTCATATTGCCACCACTGCCAGCCATTGCCCTCCCAGCACACAGAAGAGGAGGCACTGGAGTGGTTTAAAAAGTGTAATAGTGCAAAATCAAAAGATTCTGTATCGGTAAAATCTTCCTACTCATTAGACACACTTTGGCCTGAAGGTGGCAACATTGAATAACATTCTAAGGAAAGAACCTTCACATATAGATACCTTTAATTAAAAGTTTGTGCTTTTTAGCAATTATCCTCTCCCCCATTCGTTTTTCACAATGTGTTGAGAAAGAAGTAAGATGGGGGGTATTGTAAATTCTTCTGAAATAATCTTAACTTCACATTATGCAAATTTATTTGAAAATTAAAATTAAATCTAACAAACATACACTTTATGCCAAACCTTCCATCCCTTCAATGTAAAAGTAATTTCAAAAAGGATACGCTGTGTGTCTCCTTTTGTAATATTACTATCAATAGATGCTCTTTACCCTGAATGTAAATCAGTGCTTTCAAACTGGACCTTGCCTTATGCTGAGTTATTTCACCTCCTTCTGTAAATGTTATGCTCTGGGAGGTGACACATTAACCAGGCAATAAGATGTGGCACTCTGGGACATGCATTGCATGGGGGAACCAGGCAAGCACCCTGCAGACCAGCAGGTGAAGCGCAGTGTCTTTATGTGAGATGGGCAGCTGATAAGCTTGTCTCAGAGCGTTCTGTGGAGAACACAAGGACAGAGGGATTTAAAATATTATTTCTAATTTCTTTAATAATAACGATAATAAAAAAAATCAATCCCCTCCTACGAGTGGGTACTGAACTTCAACATTTGCAGATTTTCACAGTGTTCAGTGATTTTACCTTTGGCTTCAGTGCTTTCTGTTTATCCCACTGATTACTGTTCTTGTGGCTACATGAACAAAGGTATTTTACATGGAATCAAAACAACATTTTACACAGTCCTTGCTGGTAAAGGCCACACGTGCACTACTGTGAGCATTCCCTACTAGCAATCAATGGTAGTTTAAATAAAGAGACTTAACTCAGGCAGCCAACAGACAAACAAAATCCTCAAAGTTCAGAGGCCAGTAACTATTTGTTGTGGTTTAACCCAGGGGGTAACTCAGTACTGCTCAGTCATTCTCACTTGCTCTCTACTTCCCAGTGGGATAGGAGAGAGAATCAGAAAAAAGTAAGTAGTACTTGTAGGTTGAGATAAAACTATTTACAGAGAGAGAAAAAGAAAAGGATAATAGTTTGGCTATATGTATGTATATATAATATATATATATAAATGTATATACAAAGTGAAGCAAAAGCAATTGCTTACCACCCTCTGACCAATGCCCAGTGTGCCCCTGAACAGCAGAAGGAAGAGATGAACTCTCAGCCCTTCAAAACTCCTTTCATGTGATGACAACTTACATCAGCTCTCCTTATTCTGTTCTCTTTCAGCTCCTTGAGCTCTTCACTGAGAATGGTCTTGGCTCTATACAACACTGCTAAACAGCACCTATAAACATTGGTGTATTATCAACATTGGTTTTCTCCTTGAACCAAAAACACAGCATCATACTAGACAGTCTGAAGAAAGTAATTCCATCCCAGCTGAAACTAAGACACAGTTGTATTAAGAGGGGTTAGGAAAAAAAACCAGCTGCTGAATTTGCCCTGTCTAGAGAAAAAATGACAAGATAATAGGCTATGAGTACTTAGGAGTACTTAAGAAAACAAAATTGGAAACTGCTGTGGGAAGACTGTTGGCAGCATAGCGAAATCAGGTAGAAGTACTCATAGCTCAAAATTAATGAAGGGAAAAATGTAGATTAAATAGTACAAAATGAGTGTACAGGGAAGTAATACAGCTGAAAGGGTCACTGATTTCAAGGCAAATGTTAATCCTGGAGGATTGTAGATCATATCAACCTTCATTGTTTGCAGAGTTTGGAGTAGGTCTTCTTAAGTCTAATACCTATGGGTCAGATCACTCCTTGATATGGCAGTATCTTATGAAGGAGTGCTTCACACTGAGAACCCTGCTTCCAGAGGGGCTGCCCTGTGAAAGCAAGCCAGGAGCTTGGCTACAAACACTGTTGGTTCTTACACTTCTGTAACAGCCTCCAGCTTTTACAAGGGCTTTTCCAGGCAGAAAGAACATGAGAATCCCTTGCTAATGATTGTGTCTGTTGGCTCTGGAGAGGAGCTGATGTAAATAAAACATAATAAATAAGATCTGGAGAGTAGCTAGGTGGAGTACCATTAGTTCAGCTGGAAAAAGTGCCACTGATGAATCAGTGACCTATATAAACAAATAGTTCTCATCATTTCTAACAGAAGGTTAGATTTTGACTGTGTATTGATCCTTGAATAAAATGAAACAGTAAACTGCTATCCATTCAATCCAGAAAAAAGACCACTGAGAAGGGACTTAGAGGAAAATAAGACCCCAGTCTTTACCTGCTTATTCTCATCCTCCCACCCTCTTGCCCAGTAGAATAGGCAAGCAAGGAAATTCTTTGACCTTGTTGTACCTCAAAAGAAAATGCAAAGAAGTGCCCTCGGAATGTAGAACAGGCTCCTACTACTTGACACCACAGTAACAGTCTCGCTCTTGAAGATTAGCCATATTTCTGGTGGGGTTTCAAATGCTTTTTGAGGACAAGCTCTGAAGTTCTTTTTAATGTACCCACTCTGATTTTCAATGCATTCAGTCATTAAAGTAGACTTACTACCTTTGGCATTTCTATTAAAATGTTCAGAAGAGGAACGGTTTCTGAGTGAGTCACTGAGTAGAAAGCACAGGTATCACAGAGGGAGAAGACGATAATTACTTCCAGGCACACCTTCTTGGAAATTGAATAGACTTGATGAAGAACTGGTAAAATTGTAATACAAAGAGCAGCATCACAAGGTAACAAGGCAGAAGAGCAAAATTAACACAATCCCAGCCCTATATATTCAGTTCAGATTCTACATTGTGACAAAAAATTATAACAAAACTAATAGAAAGAGTTCCTGTACACTGTGATACCAGATGACTCCAAATGCTCCTGAGCAGCAGTGTACACAGCCTGCTTCTACAAGGCCATCACAGCTACAAAGGATGTACAGCTGCAACAGTGTGGACAGACTAAGTGCATGAGTAAACGGGATGGTCTCAGCATAAAAATCTCATAATAACACAAGACAAAATGAATTAAACAATGAAAACTCATGATTAAAAATAATCTGCAACAGATAAATAAAACAAAACCATTATGGAAAGCTTTGTTTCATATAGAAAAGTTTTATCAAAGTATTTAAGCAAACATAATCCTGACCATTCTCAGATCTGGTGTGATTTCATTTTTTAGGATCAAAAGTTAGAACTCAGCAGCTAGATAAGAGCCTCAGACACAGTGCATTTATGTTTGGTCCATTGGAGAGGAGAGGGCAAAGGCTGCGCATTATTTGTTGGTCACAGAGCTGGTATATGAGCTGATCAGTCTCAGGCATTCACTGTGCAGACATACGGTGTGTATCATGCCAACTCCCAGGAATCACTGAGCACATTATCTCCCATGTTTTCTTGGTACCTAGATAGTCTGATGTTTCCCTGAAGGAACTCTGAAAGGCATGCTCTAGTTCATAAATGATGGATCTACAGATGTAGAACTCATGGCTTCACACTTCCCCTTTCATGGCTGCCAAGATTCCTTGATGGGACTTACGAGAGCACGATGGGGCTTTATGGTGCCACTTGTGTGGTCCATTCCATTTGCAGGACTGTCTCTGCAAGGTCCAAAAACCAAGTGCCCCAGACTAGAACACTTTATTACAGTAACGTACCTTTAAAGAAAGGATAGATTATAAAAACTTTAACAATAAATTTTAATGAAGTCATGTGCGCTGATTATTTATGCTTTAATTATTATTCCTGTCCTCTCTTACTCTCCTGAACTGGTGCTACTTTACTTGCAATAGGAACAATTTTGATGAAGATAAATTAAAGCCTCTGATACTTAATTTTGCACAGAATGAAATATTTAGTGTGTTAGTTCATATTCTGATATGGTAACTGGAAATTCTCATACCTAAAAGAATAAAGACTTCATTCAACCAGCAAGAATCAGCCAGAACTGGCTGCAATGATCTGTGGTTTTGGAAGGGGCCTTTTTACTGAAGAAAATTACAGTAAATCTCAGATTTCTTGGTGAAATCAGTTCACAATGTGCGTTCAGGACAGTGGCATCATCTGCTTAATGAGATACGGACTTCTAAAGCATGTGTGATTATTATTATTATTATTATTATTATTATTATTGTTATTATTATTATTATTATTATTTTGCCTTGTGGGTTCTCCTGCCAGTTAGACCCTGGAAATGGTTATATCTTTTTGTTGTTTGTGGGTTATTTGGATTATCTGAGATGGAATTTACTATACCATTTATAGCATTGCCTCTGAATACATTTTCTATGTTTTCTTATTTTCTCCTTCTCTAAAAGAACTCACTGTAAGAATGCAGGAACAAAAAAAGTCCAGGTTGAAGAAACCTTTAATAAAAGAACTGCAAAAGAATGAAAAAGAACTGTGGCAAAACAAGCAGGTCATTCTATAAGATTCACTTGCTCAATTTTAATGTATGTCAGAGCAGGATGGCAGGACTCTAATTGGATTTGAAAGCTGTGTGATTCTCCTGTAATAAAAAGCATATTTGCCAGGGCAGCTACAGGAAAACATTATTCCAACTGGGTCTTAAATTTAGGGGACAGCAGAATGAAAGAATGAATAATTCTAGTAAATAACCTTCTATATGTCATGCAACTTAAAATCAAACTCCAAAAAAAAACCAGGATTTATATTAAGTTTGTCTCCTACCAACAACCTCATATTGATTCCTGGGGGAAGCTTTCAGGGAGATTAGCAAAATAATCCTTCCATACTGGGGGTTGTGTTTCTCTGCTTAAATGACCATTGCTGGTGATGAAAATGCTAGCAAAAATGACAACAAAAGCAGATATCATTAGAATTCAGAATCTGAGTTCTATCTGGAGTCAGCTTAAATTATCTTTGAATAGAGAGCTATCACATAAACTTCAATCTTTCAGTGAAAAAGTATGAGCAGCATTGTATGTATGACTATTTTTAATGATGTCTTAGCAACATGAAAACACTAATGTTATGTGCTTTTTTTGTGTGTGTGGTCTGGGAAAAAATGATTGGAAAGTTAGCATTTTAAGGCTTTGTATTTATTTCCTCTTTAATGCACTTTGAAACATGCAAAGGAGTTACAAAAACATTGTCTAAATCTTGTGAGGAACATAAAGGTTTTCTCACAACACTTGGTAATGCTGAACTTTTCTTCAACCCCCCTTTCCCCACCCAGCAATGACAGATCAAGGAGATTTTTTGTTGTGAAAAAAGACTGCCTCCAGATACATTTCTATCCTTGAAGGACGACGTATGGATAGGAGTTGAACAGAACTGCTACAGTTAAATGTGTAAACAGCACTATTTGACCTGACAACCCTGCTGAATAGAAATATGCATTCACTTTAAAAGGTGCCATACACAAGAAGATTTAAATGAAAATTATTGGCTTGTTATTTTTTTTTTCTTTATTTTTTTCTTATTCCTGCAGAATAATGCAGGAATAACTCAGTTTTCCTACCTCATACTCCACTATTCTATTTCTGGTTTACTATCAACTTTGGGCACGAAGTCTCATGAATAAAGCAAATGGTCTCTTGAGGGAACCATAGGCAATGTTCTTATTAACCAAATCTATTTTATATTACCGCTGCTATAAAATAAACAACAGAGCAAAAACAGCAAAGCCCTGCATTGTGCAGGATGAAATGCCACACTGCTCAGGATGGACCTGAGTCTTTGTGGGAAGTAAATATACCTTGGAGATATTTAGAGTGGGCCGGCACTGATGTGCTCTGAAGTGGTGGGATTTCATCAGGTGAAACTGAAGGAAGAAAATCCTGTTTCATTTCCTTCTCACACAGGAGATCTTACTCCTAGGCTAGAAGGAAGTTCTGCAGAATGTCTACTGCCAATGAAAAAAAACCACTGCACTGCCTGTCAAGTGTGAGTCCTGAGATGCCCACAGTGACACGTTTTCCAAGTAAAAAAAATTTACTCTACTTTTGTATCCTGAGGTAAGTTCCTTGACTACAGCATAGTTTCATTCAGGCCAATATGAGAATGGAATCACTGGTCATGGCACTAGAAATAGCAGAGACATTTAGAAATCTTCACACTGCTCACTCCTCACCTACAAGACAGTCTCCATCCCTCCATTTTTAATGATAGAATTATTGTAGGTAATTTCCATGAAGAACTGGCTTTTTAAAAATACAGGTAGCTGAAAAATATCTTATACAAGTAAGCTTGTAAAATTCAGAATATCTGGTATTTTAGAAAACAGGAGAATGTCAAGAGATTAATAGGAAGACATTGCAGTTAAAATCAAACCAAAGGCACAAGGATGCTAAGTTGAGTGTCGGCAGAGAAGAAAATAAGATGATATTTTAATCCCATGTACCAAGTGCATGATTTTTCAATAATGTGCAATCAAAAACTTGTACAGTAGTTTTCAGATAAAATTACTCAGAGAAAAGTCTGCTCTTATCTGCATATTATTTCAGAAACGTCCACTTGGTGCATTTTTATGAAGAATGAATCTACATTGAACACTTTTTTGGTTTTAAAACTTTTAGAATTAAGCAAAGAATCATAATTTGAACAATTCACACTTGGCTTATTTTTTCTATCATTTCCCTCTTCGCATTACATGGTGATAAGAGAAATTATCATCCAGCTTATGCATTCCATTGATTTAGCAATTTTATTACTGTGGCACTTTAAAGTCATGGATTTTGGAGTCAGTTTAAAGATAAGAGAAATAGTTTGGAGCTAAGTGTAATTTGTCCAACACTGCCTGTCCTTTGCTTCACTGGCCATTTAATTAGTATTATAATAAGAAAGAACACAACGTTAAGAAAATCACAAGGATATATGATAGTTTCTCTGACGGAACATATTTAAGATGATGCCTTTGAGCAAAGACATGAAAACGAACTCATTGCAAAATTTGATAGAGAAAAAAAGTTAGTTTTTTCATTGTTGCCAGGTTCTTTTGCCGGGAGGGGGGAGGGGACTGGAAGAGTTCTTCAAAACCATTAAAATGCAAAGTGACAAATGGTGCTGAATAATTGCCTCATTCTAAATATGGCTTTGGCTTAGATTATAATTGTTTGTAAATAAGAATTCAGTAAGGAATAAAGTACTTCCTAATTTTTATTTTATTTATTTATTTTTTTAAGTAATAGAAGATGTGGTGCTTCACTGAGTGAAATTAAAAACAGAGTGTGGAGAAATAAGCTTCGAGTCACAAATCCTACCTGCCACAAACTTTCATTGTGTCAGATCATTTTCATGAGTCTACTTAGAGATAGAGCTGGTTGATAACAAATGGACTTAGGCGTATGCTAGCAGAAGAGAGAGAGAGATAATTCTGTAGATCCAAGTAAAAATGCCTCTTTCTTAAGATTAGATATTATTATTAATTAAACTCAAGGTTTTCAGCTTTCATTTGGGATGTTCTGTAATTAAGGATAATGTTGCAGGGCCCCTGATCAAAATCTTCATCAAAACATGAGATGCAGGTCCTACATTAGCTATGTGTTCCCTTAAGCAGCATTTTTCAACTCTGTAGTATCAAGTGTTATTGCTGCTATTAGCATTGTACTCTTTGAAGTAAAAAGTGTTTCTTTGATTATTAGATTTGTCTGGAACTAGAAGTAAAAGCAAGGTCTGGAAACAGAGCGGAACCAAATTTTGGCCCCAGCTGGATCTGTATTTGTTCTTCACAAGAACAGAAAAATTGCTAATGGTATGAACATAGTCTGCCAATTAAATCTAGCATTTCTTCAGTTAGGTGCAATATACTATCCTTATGTGGTAGAATCTGCACAGATGTACACAATTCAGGAGACAATACAGGACTGAGCTCCAAATAAAGATTGTGGTGCAGTTATTCACAGTTAAAATATATACAAAATTATTATTTTGCCAAGATGTCAAAAAACTTGCCTTTATTGTTACCTGTGTGCTATAGTGATAATTTATGATGCTGCAGCGTTCCGGTTTCACTGGCGCTGGACTAGATATTTCATAGCTTGTTGAACACAGTGAAAATTCATCAGTTTCTCCTTGGTCAAATATGATGATACATACAGGGTTGTTCAGTGCTATCTGCCATTCAGTAGTGCTAGATGAGAAGCGCTGTTACTGTGGAAAAATAATAAAATATAAGTAAAAAACAAAATTTACCAGAAATAAAAAAATACATTTGACTGAATATCATTAAATTCAGACATGAAAAAATAGCTCCCAGAGACAAAAGACATTCAAGCAACGTATACTTCCATTTTATCACTCTGTCCCCTTTTCTGAAACATCCTATGCTTTATTTCACTGATCTGTTCTACTGTTCAACCAATATAGGGTTCAAAATTTGTCTCCCACTGTGAATAATGAGCCCTTGCATAGTCCAGGACATCTTCTTTATATACAAAAAACGCTTTAACAAAGCATTTGCTGTTAATAAGGCCAAAGGGGCATTTCTGCCACCTAATAAACACAGAGCAGATTTAGCAAGGAGATTCAAAAAAGTAAGAAAAGCAGGTGAAAATGTAGTGTAGTGTTAAAAAAAAGAGCCTTGCAACTCACTGAAAAATAAAAGATTACTTCTATCTTGGAAGTTTGAGAGATGAAGTACCCAGGTAACCCATGCTTCATTGGCACTGTTTAACTTTCTGACACAGTTTTAACTTTTGTTTAATTATTTATTCATTTATTTTCCAGATAAAGTAGTTATCAGAGTAATGGCCATGGAATTCAAATAATGAGCCCTCTATCAATGAGGTTGGAATAAACTCAAAGACGAGGAGCATAGTCCACCGCAGTTTAATGAAACTTTATTTTGTTGCAATCCAATTTATGTTTTTTTATTTTATCTTGGATTTTCTTTTTATTTACCAAGTATTATTAACAGTACAAATACTGTCTCCCAGAAACCAAACTGCACTGTCCAGAACTTTTAGAAGTGGTTGTAATAGCATATATTAAAATATATTATACTGTTAATTTCCATCTGCATTAGGCATCAGAAAAAAATGACACATGATATTATGTAATACAGTATAATATAATGGCACATGTTAGCTTAGAAGAGTTATTCTTCCCTTTCTCATCTTCAGTTTTGTTGATATACCAGCATTCTTCTACATTTAAACTGTTAAGCAATTCTTCTTTTAAAAAGCTTATTGTAATCAACATAATGCCTGTTTTGACATCTTCTTTGCACACCTTTTTAATGTCTTCACACTGTCCCATTTCCTTAATACTTTCAGTAACACAAAATACCTATAAGTGCAACTGAGCAGTCTGAATGAATTTGTTGAATGAGAGAATATGCAAATGGATCCAAATCCATGAAGCTACAGCCAAATAGACAGGAGACCACCCATAAGTATCTGTGTGTTGGTAAGGAAAAATCTATTACAAAAGAATTCTTTTGCCCATTTCCTTTATTTTCAAGGAAATAGTGTATCTACATCAACAGAAAATCAGCACATTTCACAGCCATTATGCACACTGGCAGCTCAGCCAAAAAGAACTCGCAGCATAGACAACCTCTACATCCTAGTAAGAGAGTTCAAATACAGGCTGTAGTGCTATCTAGCTCCTCCAGGACGTAAGCTAAACTGTCTTGAAAGCCAGGGAGTAAGCTAAGGATAACACTGAAACAAGGACATATATAACCCATTTAAAAGTAAATTTTGCATTTTGAAGAGTTCAGAGATAGTTAATCATTTTGAAATAGAACAAAAGGCTGAACTCACTTTGTACACTTCATAGAAGCTAAAGATCATCATCCAGAGTGGAAACAAGTGCCTTCAGCTGCAGAAGGAAATGAGAGTTGCAGAAGGAAATGAGAGCTTGCAGTACTGAATGATATTTATTAATATATAGCTTGTTGGATTTAAGCTTTAAAAATTGACTTGCAGTTTTGGCTTGTCAAAGTAGGTGTTCCAGTTGTTTTCATTAAATAGAAACTATTTGTGCAGGAGGTGTGTGGAGATAATTTGCTTCTGTGAATCACATAAAGATGTCGCCCTGAAAGCACATGTAATCCAATTTTTTAGTAGTTTCACTAACAAGAATAGCAACACCTTCTCCATCTTTCCACTTTTCTAAGACCAGTAAAGCTTACACATTTATTTTGAACTTCCAGGTCATCTCATTCAAGTCTCAGAAATAAAGCACAAAGAACACCTAGGTATTATAAAGATGCCAATCAGTGAAGTAGGCTTGCATGTAAACGTGTTTTTTTTTGTTGTTGTTGTTTGTTTCTTTTTGTTTTGTCCTACCATACTGTAGTAGAATTTGATTAGGATAATGAGATTTACAAGGAATTGTCCATCATAACGTGTGGTAGAAAAGCTATGAAATCTATTAATCCAATTTTTGTCATGCGAGTTCATATAAAGCAATAGTCAAAATTAATTTTCTTGTGAAATGAAAGAGAAAGAAGGCATTTTATTTTGTGATAACTCACATATTAAGTAGCAGGCATTCTAGAAACAGCTAGTATATTAGTTCTTCCTACACTATTATGCAAGGTGGAAAGACTGAATGCATGCCACTGTGCATATATATATGCATTCGTTTTCCAGTGGTACTGTGTTAAAAATGCCAAGACGCACAGTCAGAAATGACCTTTTTTCTTTTTATGGACAATACTGATCCTTGTGCAAGTTCTCTTAATTGTGATGTCCAGACAGCAGGGAGAAACTAAGTGGTACTGATTTCCACTGATTCAAATTTCACTTAATTGGACTGAAGGGCAGAATAACAGGGCCTTCATACCTCACTGCCTTTTCAAGTACATGCTGAAAGCAACCCCAAGGTACATTTAGTAGGCCGAGATATGTGTACTGCAGGACAATAAACTTCATAGATCAAAACTGGAAGAAAATTTTGAATTATATCCTGCCAATGAAACTGTCTTGCTTCCTAATACAAAAATAGCTTTTCTCAAACCTCAGCTCATCTCAGTTACAAGGGTAGAGCATGACAAGAGATGAAGATTTGAAAGGTCTAGAGAAGAGACTGAAACTAGGAACTTGCACTGAATATAGAAACAGCACATAAAATCTAACGTGTTAATATACTCTGTAGCTCCAATGCTGAATCAATCCTTTCAGTGCTGAACTGAAAATTGAAAATGAACTTCAAAATATGGTCAGTGCAACTTAATCTAGGAACAAGAAGGCATGGATAGCTATTGTGAGGGATTTGGACAGAAAAGGGCACAAGCTCTTTGGCAACTGAAGATGGAAAAGTGATTTTGTCCATGGTCTGGACATCTAAAAGCAGGTGAATATCCAATAAGACGCTTTGACTATGATCTTTGTTAAGAAAATGGTATGCTGTTCGCTCAGATAGTCTTTCCATTAAAGACAGAAACAACTTATTAATTATTTACCCAGTTATTTCAATTCATAGCTATTGTATACCCAGATTCTTATATATATACCTCTTACCAAAGAATCCAAAGCAAATCAGATTTTAACACTAGTATTTGATGATATTTCACTATAAACTTAAACAAGTACCCTTTATGCCCCCAAAATGTCATTCACCATTAGCTGCAGGAAATACTGGAGTTATACCAAAGACCTGTCCCAGAGACATTTTCAAACGGGTAGTAATGCATTTGTTCTGTAAATCTTTTCCATGAAGCTGCACAAAGTCAAGTACAAGATCAAGACAGATCTGTGGAGGACTGCAGTGTGCTCTCATTGAAAGTTCCATAGGAATAAAATCCTTTTCTTTTTTATCTTTAGAAAAAAATTTTACAGACTGTCAGAATGTAGAAGGACGTATTTTCTAATTTTGACAGTTTCTTAAATAAGATCTTAAGCTACCACTGTCCTTTCTAGTGCTTAAAAATCCTAGTGTATTTATTCCAGTAGCTAATCTAACCTGACTATCTTTCCCTTCATTTTAATCAGAAAGAAATAACTCAAATGTATACATGAAAAAAATTCAGGTGTTAAAATTTGTTTAACTTCTTCTATAGAGAACAATATAGAAAATGCCTCCCCTTCCTAGTTATAAAGGTATCCGATCTAAAAATAAAATCTCCCTTCTTCACAGTGCCCATACCCACCCTCATTGCACTGAAACTTGTGTTCAGTTAGTGGTGCCTCATAAGCATTTATTATTAGATATGGTACGCTGTGAAAAACATTAGAGGGATTACTCAATGCCCTAAGCAGTATAACTGGTAATACATAGTACCAAATTTGCAAAATAAAACTACAGTTAGTACTCCTCAGTGGAAATGATAGCAGATTTTTCAGTGAAAGGGTATTTTTTTTTGTGTAAGAACGTTACCTGAAGCTGGCATCCCTTCATGGCAACAGTAGCACACTGTCAGGGGTGATGCTACAGAAGCACTGACTGCAGCAGCAGAGCATCTTCCTACCACTGCCTACTAGGGAGCCCAAGGAGGTGCTTGCTCATCTCTCTAACAGTTTCCTCAACAGCAGAACTGAAAGTAGAACTCAAAGCAAATGGGAACTGCTGGTAGTGACTGTGAATGAGCAGAGTTCATCTTCAAGAAGTTTGGTTATATTATCTGTAGACAAAGTTTATTCCTCTTATAAACAGGCTTTCTGTCTTCAGTCCAACATGTAGTACTTTTCATCTTGTACAGTGTCTTTTCTAAGAAAATATAATAAAAAATGAGTTACATGCAGGATAAAAATGCTAGATTTCAAGTTTATACAAAATGCAAAGATGCATTTAAACCAAAAATGAAAGATGGTTGGTTTTTTTTTTCTTCTTTTTTTTTAATGTCTGACACAGCACTTACAGAATAGGAACAGAAATCCTTCCAGGGAATAACAACTGTGACAATGCATGAGGAAAAGCACTGATAATTCCCTCCAGTAAACACACTGAGAAAGACATTGATTTCCAGATCTTAGTAAATTCCTGTATATTTATTAACATATTTTTCAATACAGAATTCAATACACTTAGAAAAAGCCCAATAGGAGGGAGAACATTTACTCTTACTAAAAGGCACAGAATTATCTAAACTGGGAGCAAGTTTGCAAATTACTTCAGTAAAAGGTCTTTTGCCGAGAACTGTAGTTTCTGTTCATTGGGTAATACTGATAAACACAACTACTGAAAAATGTAGGCAATTTAATTCATCATACTAGTGTAGAGAAATTCCTTGTTCATCCCATAACTCAGTGGATGTCTGCACTGTACAGGTTTTCTGAAAAAACATGTTTTCAAAAACCCCTTCAGCCTGTAGAGTAAAAACTTTAAAGTTCAGAACCTTTGAGCAAGAAAGAAAAGTAAAGTCATGTCTGAGTCTGTTGGCATGTTATGAGTGGTACAAAACCTCTAAAGAAAACGTGGTATTCTCTTAAGTAAATTTTGTTCTTCCTGTCACACAGATAACTCTCTAAGTTCTATATCTCTAAGTTCCATATCTATACTTCTTCCCTGCCTTACCTTACAATGTTAAGCAATGTTAAGTGTTACAACAACTCAATCTGTATTCACCACCAGCAATAATGTAAAAGAGCATGATTTTTTACTTTTATTAAAAAAAGCCTTGTGAATCTGAGCAGATGAATTAAATGCTCTTATGAACTGCTGGATTACTGAGATCCATCCTTGTAAATTACGATGGCCACAGCTTACTGCCAAATATGTCACTTCCATATTTTCAAAATTTGTTCTGTATTTTCTCTCTCTGTCTTGTAGTCACACATAAATATGTACATATTCATATCTATTCATATATTCATAATAAGAGAGAGATAGTACTATTCCTATTTTCAGTGTCTATTTTCAAATGGGTTTGAACTATCTAACATAAAATGTCTTTTGTCTGATACAGTAATAATTGCATCTGCCAAACTGAATAAGAAATGACAGTATTAGTATAAAACCATCTTGGATGCAGTTTCAAAATCTGAAATTAAAAACAAACCAATAAACAAACTCAATGCCATTCCATAATATATAGCTTTGGTACATCAGGAGTAATTTCTCTCTTGATGGAGGATACTTAGAAACACAAAAAACTTTTCTTTACTCCACACTGTTTATTTTAGAGGGCCATATTTACTGAGATAAGTACAGAATGGCAGAGCAGGGAAAAATAAGAAATGAACAGAAGTAGTCATATTTTCAGATGTTGTGAAAGCTTTAACAGACACTTCACAGAATTGCCCCCACACATCCTGGACTCTCCCTGAAAACCAGAGCAGCAGACCTTGAGCTTAATTTTCCTTTAAAGGAGGCTTGTAATACTTCTTTCATTCAGCTCTTGAACCATGTATTCCTGAAAGGCCACGAGGGAAATGCAGGGAAGAAAAAAGAATCATTCTTCTCCTCCTTCCCAAACAGATAGTGGCAGGACCCTCTCAGGTTCCAGAAATACCAGACACACAGATAATGCTGGGATGTTACAGAAGGCAAGCAAAATGAGAAAAGGAAAGGGAAAAAAAAAACCAACCCAAATCAGCTCTGTCTGTTAGAGTCATCTCAAGAGCTTCTTATAACAAGAGAAGACACAACATTTTCAGATGGAAATGTGATTTTCAAGTTGACAGTACAACTTTAATTAGATGGGAGTCCAAGGAAGAACATATCACTGTGAAATAAATAGGCTATAAAGGAAGAAAACCATGGGGGGGGGATAACCATGGAAATTAAAGGAGAGAAAAGGAAAGAGCAAAGGCCATATGAAACATCTATTACAAAAAGTCAAGGTCAGTGCTACATGTGGAGGTATAGACAGGTAAATTGATAGAGATTACGGAAATGATCAAGGAAGCAAAGTTCAAACATAAAGGAAATGGGCATTCTCACTCGTGCATTCTGCCTGACCTGCAAAAATAGATTATTTTTTTGTCTTGAAATATTGTACCTGAAAAAAAATTACACTGAGATATACTGCAGGATTTAGTGAATAAATAAAAACAAAAATACAGGCAGATACAGAAAGCAATTTTAAAAGCATTTTTAAACAATGTTGTAGACTCTTTGCCCCCTTTCTTAAAGAATTACACTAAAAAAATGAACACTTAAGAAGCTCCTAATTGGGAGCTAGCAATTCTCCATGTGTGGGTCCATATCTGAATATTTCTGTCATCTTTCTCAAAAGCAAATTTATGGAAAAATTATTTCAGAATTAAGGTAAAATGGAAGCAGGCACCATGGTGCAGCTGCTGCAAAAGATTCCATGGCTTCCAGTGGGAGTACAGACACCCCATGCAGATAGGTTGTCTGGGATTGGGGACAGCCCAACAGACAAAACAACCTCCAGTGTGAAAGCTGCATTGTGTTGAGATGTTACTGACTTAGAATAGATTCTGAGAAGTTGCTCAGTGTAATTCTGCTATATTTTGCCTTCAGAATGGTAATGATTCCATTACTTACTGACAGAACTTCCTTCTGTGCTACTTCTGTTTTGTCCTGGTTGTTTAGATAACTTTCTGTTGCATCATGTTTTTCGTTTGCTGTTGTTACTTCACTTGTCTAACCCAATCCAATAAGCCTCTACAAAGGACATGTAATATCCTGGAGAATTTGTACTCTGTATGTCGGTTTAGTGGGCATGTTTCTACACTGTTTTCAATATCCTAGCATTAACCTTCCACTTATTAATTCAGTCATTTTGACATCTTTTTAATAATATTAATAATTTTATAAATAATATACACAAGTTCACAATCGCACACTTGAAAGAGATATTTTTTGACTCACTGTTAAAATGATATCTGTCAATTTCTATCAATTATTTTCACTCAGCTTAAAATCTTTCTTTTCTTTCTCTCTTCAGATGTTTAGCTTCTCCTTTTGGCTTTCAAACTGTAGTCACAGCTTTATGGCTATTGTATTTGACCCGACAATTTAACAAGAACTTCTCTTTGAGATAAAAATGAAACATATTAAATCTGACAAGTTTTAAGTCAGCCCACATTTTTTTTTCTCTTCTATCCTGAGACAGTTTCAAAAGAATAGCCGTATCCCTGTTTCTATGATTATACAATCGTTTCCTATGGAGGATAAATTTATCATATCCTCAGTTCACCATTTGGTGGAAATTTATAAAGAAGAAAAGCCAGTAAGAGTAATTAATGAATGTCTATTTTTAATTCCAGGCAATTAATGAAGTCTATTCTTAAAAGATTTATACATCCATGCTTTAGTGGCAGCTGATTCCAAGTGTTAGATTCTCTAAAAATTTAAAAACAGAGCTACTGCTTTCACCTTTGTGGTGAGGTGGGAAATATGAAATTATCATATGGGAGTGAGGACTGCTTAGTGCTAGGAACACTAGGATTAACAGCTAAGAGAGCAGAACTAGTCACCTGCCACTTTTCTTGGTCTTCTGCTTTCCTTTTTTTCACAGTTCTGTCTTCACCCTCTATTTCTTTCATCATTTTGATGCTCTCTACAATTTACCAGATTCTGCCTGCTTACTATTCTCTCTCTTTCATCTCTTCCATTTTGGCCTTCCCTCAACTTCCCCTTATTTTTTTAGTGCATCACTCATTTCCTCTTTTTTTTTTTTTCTTTTACTTTTTTCCCTTTTGTTCCTCTCCACTTGACACCATACATGAAACACTCCCTGAGCATTAGCATAGAGCCACCTATTTTTACTGCCACTTTAAGGCTAAAAATTCAATAATTATTAGGTGTCTGGACAGGAACCGCACTGAAACAAACTGCCAAGCCATTGCAATGATTTCAGGATACTTAATACTTTGCATTCATTTCTTATGTGCATATGAGGCCTATTTGGTGAGGAGTAATACATGAAGAATACAAGCAGTACACTAAGTTTATAAAAATGACTCCTCATTTAATTCTATGTATAAGAAATAAAAGAAAATATTTCAGCTGCCATCCATCCCAACAGTAAAAAATGTGGAGCAAAAGGCTATCAAAAAAATATCAGAAATAAAGATACTATGTTTGTGAAGATTAGGACTCTATATTACACATTTTCATAGAATCATAGAATCTCCGGGTTGGGAGGGACCACTAAAGGTCATCTAATCCAGTTTCCCTGAAATGAACAGGGACACCTAGAGCTCTATCATGTGCTTAGAGCTCCATTCAGCCTGACTTCAAATGTCTCCAAGGATGAGGCATTCCACTATCTCTCTGTGCAACCTGTTCCAGTGCCTACTCTACTCCAGTGCCTACTCCAACACTACTCTTGTAAAAAACTTCTTCCTTATATTCAATCCATACCTCCTCTCTTTTAGTTCAAAACCATTTCCTTTTGTCCTGTCGCAGCAGATCCAGTGAAGAGTCTGTTCCCTTCTTTGTTATAGTCTCCCTTCCCTTTAGATACTGAAAGGCTGCTATCAGGTTAAATCGGGGCCTTCTCTTGTCCAGGACAAACAGCCCCAGCTCTCAGCCTGTCCTTGTAGGGAAACTGTTCCATCCTTCAGATCATTTTTGTGGCCCTAATTTATGTTGTTTTAGTTTGCTTCTACTAACAGTTTTAAAATGACGTTAACAATATTGTCATGGAATGAGATGTCTGTACTGTTTAATTTGTTTGTGTGTTATTTTAAGGAAGTGTTCATGGAGTAGCTTGCATTAAATTGTCCAGATGTAATATTTTGCAAACAGCCAATGAAAATTATAATGAGTGTTCCTAATTAGCTGATCATAAAGCCATAATCATTTCAAGATAGATTTAGCAATGGATACTATAGAAAAGTAGTGCAGTGTTTCTGACAGGGATTTTTTGCTGCTTTTTTTTGTTTGTTTTTGTTGTTGTTTTTTGTTGGTTTGTTACACAGTTCACTCAGACAAGAGGGCAGGATGGATTTTTTTTGCTCTAAATCGCTTAGTGAGCAAAAACAAATTTCCCAAAGCTCAGAACAAAAAGTCTGGTTTAAACTGAATACTTCATTACCAAATGGGTTTCTCAGTAGTGAAGAAACATTTCCCTTTGTCAGCTGTGATCCTGCTTGTCTTCATCAGGCTACTTTATAAAAGAAGACCTCTCTGATTATTTTCAACAACAACAAAACATGATGTAGATTTAAATGGCTCTGAATGGTATTCCCTGAAGTTACACTGCTATCCTGAAATAGACTAATGAAGAAAGGCCAACTCCCTTTTATGTCATTAGATTTAGAATTTCAGTAGACTGCAATTAATCTTTTGTCATTCTTTCCCTAAATGTGAATCTAAGACACCTACCTTCTGTCCTAATTACAAGATTGGCCGTAACAGTGCAATTTCTTATGCAAAAATGCTGCTTCTGGATCTTCTATTATACTAAAGCAAAGCAATGGAGGCAAGGATGCTTTTAGAAACAGAAAATGATGACACATAAGAAAATGCAATCTAAAGTCTTTTTTCCCCTTCTTTTGTTAACATGGACCTGAGATATGAAGAGTCACTATCCTCTTAGCTGCAGGTTCACACTTCTGATCAGTTTGTAGTGAAGACTTTGTTGCTATTTCAAATTTTATTTATTTATTTATTTTAAAAGATCTTTTGTAAGGAATCAAAATAGAAACAGGTAAACTGATTATTTAAACAATTATGACTTATAAAATTGTAGCAATAATAAAAGATGCATAATAAATCACATCTATCACCAATTAACCCTCATTAAAAACCCTCTGAGAAAGGAGAGTATGTATAATCAGGCCATAATTAATCATCACAGAGTTCTTTTGGCACTCCACTTAGATCACAGATGGGAATAGTAGCAGGAGGAAGAAGAGGTGGTAGATCAAAAGCTGGACAGCATCACTGCCTAAGTTCTGCAGGACTGTGGGGTGATGCCACAGGACACAACTTGAAGACTATGAAAACTCTGGTAACTCATCATGTTTCATTTTAGTTCTAATCAACAACTTTTCTCAGAGGAAAGTTATCATAGATAATGTGTTCTCAGAAAAAGTTCAAGCTTTCTTGGACATAGCTTTGAGAAATATGAGAAGCTGCAGCCCCTGCTACTCCAAATAAAATTATGGTGTTAAAAATACATCTCCGCAGATTTCAAATAGGACAGATAAAAAAATGGGGCTCTACGCATTGTTCTACAATGATATTGGATGGTTTGTGGTTTTTTTTTTAGTTTTAATTACAATAAAATATTTAATTTAAAAGTCAATAATTTGTACGAACAATTTAGTTTTAAATAAAATACTAAATGCTGAGATGAAATGAACTATATACACAGGGATTAGTTTTTCATTTTAAAATTATTTATTCATTTCATCATCAATAGTCTCACTCAGTAAAAATAAAATTCTTCAGCTGATATAAACAGTTATCTGGCCTGCTGCATGCTTCATCTGAAAACTGGAAAAAATCAAACTAAGAGTTATTGATGGTCCAACCTCTATCAGCTTAGTGCTGATAACTATCCAAAAGTGTAATTCCTTATCCAAACTGACAGAACGTGTTGGAAATCTTAACACAGAAAATTCAACCCTTCCTAGGAACTTTTTTTGCAGCAGACTGATTTTCCTTACTGTCCTAATTTGGTTTCAGAGAATAAGTCAGAGGATCCACTTTGGTCCCCAGACCTGACTTAGTCACGTACAAACAGGGCAAAGTAATTGAACAGTGCAACAAGGTCAGACTTCTGGTTGTTTTATGCACATCTAATATGTCATGGAGGTAAGGTAGATATGAAATTCACTACAAAACTAGCTTCTGGGTAATGCTTACTATATGTGGAGTTGGATCTTTTTTTTTCATTACTCTGAGAATGAGAAAAATAATTGATCTGAATTACTATATTAGCAGTAAATAGGATGGTTGAGTCAACTGTATATATTTTTTCTACTCTTAGAGCAGATTTATTTGATGAGGCTCCATTTAAGGCAGTTTCTGAAAAGGTTTAACTAATGTCTTGGTAGATAATAGATTCATCAGATCTTCAGAACTACTTCTCCTGGACTCCCCAAGAAAGTTTTATGTTGCCTTTCAAGGTTTTCTGTAATCATGCAGCCTCTCAGATAATTATGGTACTTCATCATTTAGTTCACGTTGAGGTGCAGTACTCCATTTCCTAACACTAAGGTAGACAAGATCACAGAGGTAACCAAATTCGAGTTGGGTCGATTTTAATCTCACTAAATCAATCCAAATTTGCATTTTATGACAACTTCATGTCTTAGATTAGGACAAGGGACAGACAATGCATGATCTAGTACTATACTGACTCATAAAAGCATGTCAACATTTTGTGACACATTGCTGGGATGCTGTATCAGGTAGTACGAATCCTGAAGCCAGATTTAGTGTATCACTGTCTATCATTGCAAGTTTTAGTTTAATTGCTTAGTCTGAGCTCTTGTATTGAAATTACTCTAGAATGTATGTTGAAAATGGATGTCTCAAGTAGACAAAAGACAGAGCAATCTTATGATTTAGTGAAATCTTTGCTGATTTTTCCCTTGACCTACTGGAATAATTATCCACATTAATATTAAATGAAGCAGTTCTTCCTCTCACATTTTTGCTTGTGGTACCCCATATATAACCTCAGAATATACCTCAGCTTTGGTGAGAAAAAAAATCTTAGCTAAAAGAAAGAAGAAAAAGATCGAGTTTCCATTCCTTCTCTTGTTTACTCAGCACAGCTAGAATTACAGAACATATTATGATACAGTACAAATGCATGAACAAATCAAAAATAGCCAGAAAACTTCTAGAAGATCTCTGGTGAAGATAGATATTATTTTGAGCTAATCTTTCAAAAAGCAACTTATTGTTCAAACCCAGAGCAATCAAGCCAAATAGTTTTTGTAGATTTGGAGGTGACTATTTTTCAGAAAGCATGTTACTAGTGTAATTTATGTTTGTTTAAAAAAAATAAATAAAAAAAATAAGGAAATGTTTTCCATTCAACAAGAACATTGGCAAAAAATTCTGACCAGGACGATCTCTGTTAGACTTTTCACATTTGAAAATCACAGATCATGCAGTTTCATGATGAACAGGAACAGAAGACACCTATATACACATTTTGGTCAAAGATCTGACCAAATCCTACAGGGACAAAGAAGGAAAGCAAGCTCTGACTTCACTTCTGTAGCAGCCCAGTGAGTGACAGCTTTTTGACAACTTTTTTTAAAGCATTATTCACAAACTCTGAAAAACTCTCCACAGCTCTGCACTTCATCTATTGTTAAATACCATTTTTCAATTATTACAAGCAAAAGACTTAGCTTTGCAGTGAAATCTCACCAACCTCTTAGTTTGCAGAGCAAGAAATCCTATGAAGATTCTTTTACTCTTTCTCTTGTGAAAAGCCTAGATCCAAAACTCAGGTTTCCATATCTGTTTGTAAGAGGAGTGGGTCTCTATATGTCACAAAAAGTTTCAGAAGCGGCTTCTTGGAAAGAGCCCCAGTAAGTCAAGAAAAAAGACAGAGGGAAAAATGAAATGCTAGATTTTCTTAAAGTAATCTGTCAGTTTCAGAAAAGGCTGTGCAGGAAATGAAGTGACAGTTTCAAAATACTTGTAACCCATTTCCTCCTCTTCTCAGGGTTCAGTTTGTTTCTATTTCAGTTGTTCAAAAAAATGGTCCTTTATTTGAGTTTAGAGCCTCTGTCTAACATGCATAACCCTGAGAAGATGCAGGCTGCAGATACCCTGCTCTCCTGAGCTGCTGCTCTCACAACACAGATTGTGGCTTCTCAGCCTCCAGGTCCACCTCACACACCAAAAGTCCTAACGGGATCAATAGGACTGAGTTAACCACTGTCATACTGAAAAAGAATCCATCTTTCTACAGTCTTGGTTTTATTTATCAGGTATTTTCCTTGGCTAATATTTATTTACATCACAGCTGGCAGAGCTCAAACCTGTTAGAGCTCTGCCTACACCTGAGACCTCTCCATGCAAGAAATCAATATAACTGATTCATGAAAAACATAATTCATCAAAACCAGCCGTTACACACAATACTAAAGCTGACAAAATAATTTTGTTGTATTATCCTTCAGCTAAGTGCCTCTTATGCTATTTCCCTGTACCCACCATTTCTATGTTTTCACTAATAACAAAATATTCTGAAGAGCTACATTTTATATATTTTAATATAGTATTTTAATAATATAATATATATTATGATATATTATATAATATATATGTAATACATAATAATAATATTTTAACTATATATTAACTTTTTAAAAAAGTGCTATGAAAATATAGCTTCATTCTGGAAAATAATATGGCTATTAAAAATAGCTTAAACTACTTTTTAGTGAATGATATAAGAACAGGTAAAAAAAATCTGATGGAAAGTAACAGTCGTGGGCAGGCACTAAGACAATAAAAATCTAAAATAATTTCACATTCAGTTAGTCTTATTAGCCTTTGACCACTAAAATGTTAATATAATGATAATCAATCTTAAATCAATTATTGTGTAATTGCTGAATCAATAGGAGTGTAGTTAAATATTGATAAGTGTCTAAAAGCTCTATCAGGACATATTGACAACTTGAGAGATGACTGCAGGCCTGTGCAAAAGGAAAGCTCAGCTTTGATGGAAAGCAGCACCAGGTTGAGTTTACATTCTTATTACCATGTTAGATGTACTGATCGATAGAGACCGTCTCTACTCTGTCAGCATGGTGTTATTTCCAGTCTTTTCATCTGCAAAACAGTGCGGAGATGACCATCTAATGTCCTGTGTGACAGCGGGCAAAGGACTTAGCATCCAAAGATTTCTAAAAGAAAATATTTATGATGGGATGGGGGAGAAAGGGTGGAGAAGGTTTAACTCCAGAAGGGATGATGCTGCTTCTGCTTAGTAATCTGCTTGTGATCTGTCGGTACAAAGGCAGCACAGCAGCCTGCAGTCACACTCACTGGAGTGGCTACGCTTATAAATTATGAATTAAGAGTCCTTCTCTTTCGATAGACATGAGAAAAATAGCTGCAAGAGTTTAGACCATATCCACAACACATAAAGACATGACACATTTTAATCGCACCCAGTTTGGTTTTGTGATAACATTTATCAAAGGCATCACAATTTTTTTTTTTTCCATGAAAGTGGAGCACTCATACCTATGCCACTCTTCAACTTACGAAAACTCTTTGTTTCAGTAATACTGAGCTATTGGTGTTCCAGTTTGCTTAATGAAGTCATTATGTTCAGCAAATACCCTTTACTATTCTTTTTGTACCTGCAAGTGCGTGAATAATTGGTATCTAGATACTAATATTCTTTGAATGGAACACACTCAATTTTATCTGTAGCCAGCAGCAAAATGCACAGGAAAAGAGAACAAAACTATTTGTTGTTGGATTTGGGTCAGATAAGATACATTATTATAGCAAGCTTCAAGTAGCATGAACTGTTAAGGTTATGTCAGGAATGTCATTATAACTTTCAGGTACTCTCATGCAGACAACTCTCTGAAATCAGAGAGTCTCCCTCTCTGGTGATATTCTCCGACTTTGTACCAGCCCAGGGGCAAATTGTTTTAGCAAGTTTCAGCTAAAATCATTCTTACAGAAAGATTAAGTTTCACCTCTCTTGTAATGGTCCCTAATAAATATGGAGGTTATCCTTCAGCTACTGAATAGGGTTTTCAGATGGGCCCTCTGAGGACTTGCACATGACCAGCAGAATGGCTTCCTCCACCTGCCAAAGCCAGCAGCAGATGATGTGGAGCCCTTCAGAAGCCGATTGGGCACAGAGCGCACAAAGCCTTGCAGAGCTCATCTTGGGACAAGAAGTCTCCTGCAACTCTAATAATATCCCTCTTCTTTCCCTTGCACAAGTTTTAAATTCTGCTGCTGGAAACATGCTCAGGAATCCTGACCAGCCCTATAGATCTTGCCAGGTGAGAAGGAGTCTTCCTTCCTGAAGCCCCAGCAGCACTCACCAACCAGCTCATCATGTCACTGGGATTCCAATTTCCTGTTCGTCTCAGGAGCACAGAGCCCCCCGTTCCTGGCTCTATTTGGTGACGTGTTGTTCAGCAAATGGGATGAGCAATCCTCAGTGACCACAGCTTTTTAGCACGCAGAGGTTTGCATGACTTCCAACAACAAGTGTGGTGAAGAAAAAAGCAATTTCAGTGAGAAACAGACTGATGCAGAATATCAAATCCAAGAATGCTGCTCACTGTTTAGAAAAACATGTCTTAATTTATAAATATATAATCTGTTTATCCTGTTGAATTTAGTTCTGATAGGAAAAAAAAAGAAAAGAAAAGAAAAGAAAAGAAAAGAAAAGAAAAGAAAAGAAAAGAAAAGAAAAGAAAAGAAAAGAAAAGAAAAGAAAAGAAAAGAAAAGAAAAGAAAAGAAAAGAAAAGAAAAGAAAAGAAAAGAAAAGAAAAGAAAAGAAAAGCTGTTCTCCCTCCCCATCTGCTTTTTATTTCTGTTCCATTTTGTTTCCATCATTTATTTCCCACTGAAGTCTGAACAGTGAGAAAGGCCATTTTTGGCTAAAAGACTGTTAGTTCTGATATAAGAGCAACCAGCATCCCCAGCAGGAAAATGCTAGCAGGCAAGCAGGCTGAGGCCAAAATGGAGCACGTCTTAAACAAAGGAGGATTATTTTTTGAGACTGTTAAATTCCTACAACTACTCTGTTGTAACACAAACTGCAAAGTGGCTACCTTGTTTCAAGAATACAAACTGTAGTCTGATGCCAACAGCGTGCTCCTAATCCGACAGGCAGAGCAAGAAACACTCACGGAGCATCATTTTGCTTTATCTGTGCAGATGAGTGAAAGACATGCACCTGCATAATAAAGACTGCCATATCTTATTTAGATTCAGAATATGCATGGGATTATTTTCTATCTAGAATAGACTCTCTGCAACCATTGCCATCAACAAAGAAGGCAGTGTAATGTTATTACTCCTAACACACAAATATTTTTTTAAAACATCAACGATTCTGCATGACTCTACTTAAAAAAATTAACCAGTGTTAGTCTACAGATCATTCTTAGGAACTGTCTTTGAACATCCACATGTTTATGTTCTAAGAACAATTTAAAAACACACACAAACAAGAAATTACAGATTAAAGTCTCTTCTACTGAGATCTTTAGCTTAAAGCAAAAAAAAAACAACAAAAAAACAAAAAAACAAAACAAAACAAAAAAAACCAACTATTTAGTAGTTGAACAAGTTAGGAATTCAACAGTGTCATTTTTTCCACTTTTCATTATATAACAACTGAGATCAGTATGCTCAATTTAGGCAATCCAGTAAATGGTAAATGAGAACAGGTTGAGCTCAGCCTCCCATGGAGATACTACTTATACTCATAGATAATAAGAAACATGGAAGTGACTTAGTGAGGACACAAAACATTAAGCCTGAGGGTGAGTTGTGTGGCAGGTGTACCCTGTTCCCTGCTGAAGTCTTGTAATCTGTGGAGTCATGGGAAGTGGCTGGAGGGCTGTGTGTACCAACCCTGGTGGTGGCACATGGGATCCAAGGAGATGAAATGTCCATTTTCAGGTCCCATCCATATCCATACTCTCCCAGATAACTGACAAGCAGAGCCAGTGTGAGAAGCCATGCTGATTCAGTGAAAGAATGACAAGTTCAGGCTCAGGCCTCCAGTTGATGTCAGATTCCTAAAAGTAGGTGTCAAGGTTAGCCACCCAAGAACATTCTTTAGAAAACCACGGGAGGGTCATGAAATTTCTGATGCACATCTCATCAAAATGGCTCTGTAATATTAATCTGAAACATCCACTGATGCTGCTTTATGTGTATCCAAACAGGGAGACATTAAGATACGTGAAAATTTTAGTAATGCCAGATAGCACATTATGAACTAATAATATTGAAGCACCCATGAAACAAAGTCTGAAATCAAAATAACATCCATTCCAAGCCTCTCATCAGATCAATTTGACGCAGAATTTTCAATGTTGGACTCAAAAAAAGAGTATGAAGCATCCCACAGCCATTTCTTTTCCCAATATATGCTTCACGGGTTATGGATAATCGTCTTAAAAGGTAGTGGGCACTTTCAAAAATCGGCTTTTGTTTTTTTTTTTGTTTTTTTTCTTTCTTTCTTTCTTTCCTTTTAAAAAAAAAATTTGTAGTTAAATTCAAGTCAGGTATATCAATCTCTCCTTTAAAAAAAAAACAAAACCAAAAACCATACCATTGTAGTTCAGAGGTACTGATGTTATTTAAATAGCAAACTGATCAACTATGAGAAAACTGTTTATTTCAGCTACCTTACTTGATGCGTGTTTAAATGAAAAATCTGACAGCCAAAAAGGACATGTGAAACTTGAGTTTGAAAATTCCTAACCACTGAAGAGATCACCTTCAAATCTGACTTTGTCTCACACTCTTCATTACCATAAGCTTCACATATCAAACAAGAAAGTGGTTTTTAAATGTAAGCTTTAATACATTTTTACTATTAAAATATGCCATATGTAATGTGGGATATGCAGCTTAGACACATTACACTTAGAACTGCCTAACCTTCTAAAATATTCTGATTTTTGAGTGCCTTATATTAAAGTGCTAGCACTGCATTAATGTAGCATTTTGAAGCTCATAGTGTTTGTGTTTATTACAAATTTATAAATTTCTAGAAGTGGGTCTGCACTCCTTTAGATGTGTGAAGAAATATTCTATATATACTCCAATACTCTTGCTAGACCTTTGCTTTTTAAAGACAGACTGCAAAACCAAAAGAGGCGTGACGCATCTTTACAAGCCTGACACGGATTTTGTTCAATATTTATGACCTTCAGATGTAAAAATGTTCTCTATCAGCTCCTGTTTTGCATTCTATTCAGCTAAAGTCACACCACAGGTCAGCTAAAAAAGACTATCACTTGTGCAAGATAAATGAGCAGCTACCTTTATATAGGGAAGGTTTAATACCAATGGCAGTTTAAGTGGGTAAGGTATAGGATTTACTTTTATGGGAACAGACAAAGTCTTTTGAAAATGGCTACTATGAAGTGATTTCATTTATTAGGCTTAATTTGCTTGTATTGATAGTGCTTTGCACAAAATATCTACTATAGCACAGAAAGGATCATGCTTCATCTGTGTAATATTTGATTACAGTATTAGTAAGGAACTTTAGTATTGAATTTAAGAGTATAGCATAGTGCATACATCAGACAATTTTGCTTTCTCTTAGTGGTGGCCTACTCCTCTAGGCTTCTGCATATATACCTCCAAAATTTCTGCATATTACTCTGATGAAAAACACAAAGCTTGCTGTTGTCCCAGCTGCCCTGCTGCAGGTTGGAAAGCACAGCACAGCTGGGGTGCATGCCAGTACCAAAGGCCTGTGGATGTTACATTTTTTGCTAGCATGGTGCCAAGGCCGAAGGGGATCCATTTTCCACTGGAACAATCTTTCTTCAATGCCTTGTGCTGATCTGAATCCCTAGCAGCAAAATCACAGAAAGGCCCTTTCCTGAAGCAATACAAGGTTTATAAAGATGACTTCTAGCTAAGTGCTAATTGTGCAGAAAGCATAAAGAAATGTTCTGCTAGCAAACAACACTTTATTTTGAGAACTATTCTCCAAAAGGAAATTTCTGTCTGCCTATTTTGTTTGAAATTGCCTCTTCTATCTGTCCAGGAATAAACGTACATAAGGTTTGACACTGCTGGGTCAGCTTCACTGACAGAAGTGCAAGATCAGTCCCATGATTTCCAACAACGTGCTCAATAACATTAATGTCCAGACAAATAAGAACTTTAATAAAACA